ATTACATTAAAGAAAAAAAGAAAAATATTCCTAGCCAAATAAACGAATAACAACTTTCTCCGAACTTTGCTAGAATATTGGAGAAACCCTTACAAAAAAATTTCATCGCCAAATATATTCTATTAGACTGCAAGAACACAGAAATCATCAGAAATCAGCTTCAAAATCCTTAACATTATTAAAGAAACATTCGAAACAGAAGAAAACCTCGAGAAAGTAAGCAATCTTATCCTTAGAATAACACTCTTCTGTAAAACGTAGAATAAACGCCAACTATGGTCGTTAAATCATATTAAAAAAAGAAAGATTAACCATTTCCATTAATTTGCTAATCAATCTTACAAAAATTCAACGCTGTTCCATCCAACAGAGTAAAACCTTCGAAATCTAGAAAAGAATCTCAAGTCGAAAAATAAGTCTTAATCCAAAAACCTCGAAAGATAAATGACACGCTGTCAATTATTCCCGACTAAACCATGGGAAATTCGTTTCTCTTCGTCTCCCGATAACCAGGCCCGGGCTGTTAACGCGAAAACACGGCCGATGTTTGATCTAATATCGGGGCGGATTTACGTGTGTGCGAGATATAGGGAGCGGAGGAGAGAGAAGAATACGAATTCCCTAGCGATCCTCGGCCGGAAGGAGGGCTGCGAGGGACACGAAAACGTAAACAGTGACTTAAATCACCGTACACGCCTGAGGGAAAGATCGAAACACGTTGTACGTCGAAGGATACCTCGGCGAACGTGGCGGAATGATGAGGTGTCGCGCTAGAATAGAGAAGGAGGACTTTCCGGTCCGCTATTCCATCCGACTCCGTAATCCATTCCGGATACCAACAGCATCCTGTTCCCTTGCTTTTCCCCCCTTTTTTCGCCCGTCGCCCTCCTTCAATCGCTCGGGGAAGGACGCTCCGGGACAGGATACAGGACATCAGTCTTTTCTGTCCTCGCTTCGTTCGGGGGCTGCAGATTCCACGACGAAATTCCTCTCCCTCGATTCGTCCTCCCGCGTTCAATACAAACACGCGCCCCGTTCTCGGGTTCGCCGCGCTCTATGTCCCGCTTCTTCCCTTCCTCCCTTCCCTCCCTGGCTTTGCTTTTTTTCTCCCCTGTCTTGGAATCCTCAACGTTCAAATATTCCTTTACACGGGGAAACGAAAACGGAGGCAGAGAGAGGTGAAGAGAAGAAAGTCAGAGACGGAGGGAAGAGAAAGAGTGAATCGAGTGACGACGGGGACAGAAGAGAAGTGGAAGAAGGGTAGAAAGGAGAAGAAGCACAGGTGTAGGTGATCGGTAAAACGAAAATATGAAGTGAACAAAGCGGGGATAGGGGAGGGAGAGGGATCGTGCGATGGAAACGAAGAGTGAAATTAGAATAAGGCTGGAAAGTAGGGAGAGAGAGAGAGAGAGGGAGGAGCGAGGGAAAGCGGTGGAAAATCGAAAAGGTGGTTAAACCGGGGGACGGTGAAACGAGTGAGAGAGCCGGGACAGCTACTTGCGAGAGGTTGGGTGTACACCAGGGCTCGCATTCCAAGCAGACTTGGTGAACCGGGTTCATTATTTTCTCGTTATAAGTTTCTACAACTCGAGCTTGTTGTCGTAACGCTGTTAACGCGGACGCGTCGCGAATTGTTAAAGCGGCGGCGAACGATCGGCGCGCGTATATATTCGGCGGCTTCCTTAAACCCCGCGTCACGCGCCACCCTACCACTTCGTTCCTTTTCATCTCGCGTTCTACTCGACCGCCACTCTCACCCCTCGCCTCGTCCTGAAACCCCCTAACCCCACCCCATCGCCCGCCCTTTATCCTCTCCTTTTTTTCGTTTATTAATAAACGAGCCGATGTCACCTTGCCCTTCTCCCTTTTTCTCACCTTATCTCCCTCTTTGTGTCCATCTCTCCCTGTCTCTCCTCTCTTTCTCTCGATCTCACCCTCTTTCTCTCGATCTCTCCCTGTCTCTCCTCTCTTTCTCTCAATCTCTCCCTCTTTCTCTCCATCTCTCCCTGTCTCTCCTCTCTTTCTCTCGATCTCACCCTCTTTCTCTCGATCTCTCCCTGTCTTTCCCTCTTTCTCTCGATCTCTCCCTGTCTCTCCTCTCTTTCTCTCGATCTCTCCCTCTTTCTCTCCATCTCTCCCTGTCTCTCCCTCTTTCTCTCGATCTCTCCCTGCCTCTCCCTCTTTCTCTCCATCTCTCCCTGTCTCTCCCTCTTTCTCTCCATCTCTCCCTGTCTCTCCCACTTTCTCTCCATCTCTCCCTGTCTCTCCCTCTTTCTCTCGATCTCTCCCTGTCTCTCCTCTCTTTCTCTCGATCTCTCCCTGTCTCTCCTCTCTTTCTCTCGATCTCACCCTGTCTCTCCCTCTTTCTCTCCATCTCTCCCTGTCTCTCCCTCTTTCTCTCCATCTCTCCCTGTCTCTCCTCTCTTTCTCTCGATCTCTCCCTCTTTCTCTCCATCTCTCCCTGTCTCTCCTTCTTTCTCTCCATCTCTCCCTGTCTCTCCCAGTCTCTCCTCTCTTTCTTTCGATCTCTCCTGCCTCTCCTTTCTTTCTCTCAATCTCTCTGTCTTTCTGCTCCTCCCCTCTCTTTCTCTACTTCCTTCTTTACCCTCCTCCTCTCTTTCCTTCTTTTATCTCTTTCTCTCTTTCTCTCTCCTTACCTCTTTTTCTCCTTCTCCCTCTCTCTGTCTCTTTGTCTCTGTCTCTGTCCCTCGCCTCGACTCCTTGAGAAACGAAGGAAAAGGAAGAGGAAGCGGGAGAAAAAGCTAGCAGCGACACGACGAAAGGCCAATACTCGTCTCATTGTTCCTTTACGATACCCAGAGGAATTATTGAACAACCCTGCGACTTGATGTACTGCCTCCAGCTTCCTCCCGAACGCGACAAAACGTTGCTGTTGAAAGTGGAGCACAGCCACGAGTATCGTGTCGCCGCTGTTCCTAAAGGATCGCGCGCGCCTCACGATGCCGCTTTAATGGTGACTTTAATTGTACCCTTTGATTCCGACTCGCTCCTTGCCCTGTCGATTCCACGCGATTTCTCTGCTATTATATTTGCGAGCGCGCGAACCTGACGTTGTTAAGACAAGAAGCGGTAAAACGGACCAGTTGAACGTCATTCAGCGAAATTACGGCGATTGTTGTATTTAACGTTTCAAGTAAATTTCACTATTGAGTTTAGAAAAATTCGTTCTTTCTATTCAACGTTAAAACCACGTGACTTTCGAACAACGAAAGTTGCGCGATCTTTGTGGAACATTTTTTCAAATATAATATTCACCATTTTTGACATTTCATTTCCTACAGTATTTTTTCCAATTCTAAAACTACGAATATCGAAAACGAAATGTATCGTTCTATTTTCTAAACTTTACAATTCCACCCTTTATATGTTTTTCGTTTCAAACGAAATAATTGAATAATTGCCGATAAACAATTTCACGATCATTTTTTTTTTCAATAAATAACTAAATCGTTCTTACGTATTAAAAAATAAAAAGTAGAAATATTTACGCGAAGCAAATATTCGCACGAATGAAATGAATTATTCGAAAACTGAATTGCATTTCGAAATGTGGGAAAGATTGGATAAATCGCGCGAACACGTTGGAACCGATAATTTTCGAGGTTATCCGCTCTCGCCAAACGGCTAATATCAAATTCAACTTAATGTTCCGACAATAATTTCCATCCTTTTCATACCTGAAAACTTTCGAAATCGAGCAAACTGATGGAAAAGTACACGATGCGAAAAATTGATGGCGGCCATTCGACGATGGCGAAAGAGAGTTGTAAACAAATCGTGGGAGAATTGAAACCGTTGAAATGGCGGCGCGGCGGGACGAAGCGGCGCGATCCGGTTCGATTCACGCGGCGCAAATGAGTGGAGCGATATTAAAATCTACGCGGGCAACAGATGGGCCTGGATAGCTTTACGGTGCTCGAGCCAATAACGAAAATCATTAAATTAGCTTTAACCGCCGGTGCACGGCGCACTGTTAACAGCGTACTAATTTTATTATTTAGTAGCCGCATAAAAATCCCGGAATTCCCTTCGTTACTTTTCTCGCCGACGCAATTCACAGCCTTTTAAAGTAATAAGTTCCTCCGTTCTATATATACATGGTACGTTTTATTTCGCTCTTACTTTTACATGCGTACCAATAGTACGAATTATAGCTGTCACTTTGAAACATTGTGCTTTCGCGCAGGTGTAACGTGAGAAACGAATTTAATAGCGAGAAAAGCGGTATACCTTATTTCGACAAAAATTCTCGATAACCGGCGATATTTTGCGACGCACTTTCGAACTTTAACGCGACAGCCGTACAGTGTTCTTTTAGTGGAACTGCAGATTTGGCACCAATTCCTCTTTGCCGGCTATCGGTAAAGTAACTCTCTTTAAAGTTTCTGTACGTTTGTTGTTAATACTGCAGAAATTGTATTGAAATTCAGCTGGATAGATGGCAATAGTAAACTAGCGAAGATTTACTTAACATTGCGAACTTGCTATACTTTAGACAGTTGAATATTTATCACTTGGGTATTAGCTTCTAACTTTGTGAGTGAACAAGGTGTAATTTGAGAAAAAACTAATACTTTTTGTTTGCCCCAGCTAAATTTAATGAAATAATTATACTGACAGATAATAGAATAATATCTACGCAATTACTAATTAAAGTTGTGTTATATGTTAATTGGTTACGTGTATTCAATGACATATCAATGTAACGGTTGCAGCTACGCGTAACCGTGAAATATTTACATTACGATAATGTTATCTTAAGTTGTGTAATTTTCCTCTATCTTTTAGGAAAGTAGCATTTTAATTTAGTGTCTTATTTATTTAAAGTGTGTTAGTCATTAGTCCTTGGTCGCCAAAAATATTTGAGGTTCATATACATAGGTAGTGCTTACTTGAATATTATTTGCAATCTTGTATAAAAGTAGTACTGTTTATTTTAATGGAACGAAACAAAAAATCTAAACATTTAAAAATCACTTATTAGATTGGTGTTAACGATATTAGCAATATACTTGCAGCTGACAATAATTCAACATTTTGCGGTAAAATTTTGTGATAAAAACTCAAACTATACTTAGCCAGTACAAATTTCAAGAACATTTCGACAACATTATGATGCAATTTTTTTTTCATTTTTATATGGAACATATGTTACAGTAGAAGAGTAACAAAACTTACGAACTTAATTAAATTGAAAACATACAATCGAAATGCTACCAATTTTGAAGTAAAATATTTTCCAAATTTTAATCCCATAGATAAAAAATTTAAGTACATATGTATTTCCTTTGACAATAAAAAAATTTATGAAAAATAATAGTGTCCTTGAATGTAGAAATCGTATATATTATAGAAACATAACCGGTTTTGTACGTCATTATAAAACTATTTTCCTTTCATTACTTTTATTTCATTGTGTAAAATTATTTATTACCTTTCAGATCAAATAATATTACCAATACGTAGGTAGTTTATAGTTTTACTTTCACTTTTATATTTAACTAACTGCTTCGATTTCCTAAAATGTGATGGTAACGTTGAGAAATAAAATTGCAATTTATTATTTAATATATTGTTAGTGGAATATTTTTTAAGGTACACAAAATAAAATTCCTTCGCCGACACGATCAATTACATTCAGTAGAAGTGTGGTTTGGGTAAGTAATTGATATTAACGTTTCTGTAGTTAATCACGTTCGTTGATGATACTTAGAAAAATGTTACCACCGACATACGTCGAGGGTTTTCACGATTTGGAAGCCGTGAAAGCTATGGAATACAGACCTCTTGGTAAAACGGGATTATTGGTCAGCAAGTTATCGTTCGGTGGTGGACCACTAGGTTGCCACTATGGGTTAGTAATTTTATTTTTATTAGAAATAATGTTCTAAAAATGGTTTAAAAGCATGATACGTGTGTACAAATAAATATTAATATAAATTTTGTTTTAAATTCTCAAACGCGATATATTATTTTTCACGTTATTTCTGTATTTTAACTTATCGATAGTGCATACGACGAAGAAGAAGCTATTGAAGCGATACGTCAGGGAATAAAGCAAGGGATTAATTACATTGACACTGCTCCCTGGTACGGTCAAGGTCGTTCTGAAGCTATCATTGGAAAAGTAATTAAATATTTTTTAACGTATCAATAATATATGTACGTATTACAAATATTTTTTGGTTAACTTTATTTAATAATCTAGGCTCTTAAAGGCATTCCACGTAATGCGTATTATATCGCGACGAAAGTTGGAAGGTATGACTTAGATTACGAAAATATGTTTAATTTTTCCAAAGAAAAAACTCAAAGCAGTTTCAATAATAGTTTAAAACTTTTGAACTTGGATTACGTCGATGTCATACAGGTGGGTATGTTTGTTCTTTTCATTGATTTTGTTTGTTAGCTGATTGATAAATTTGTTTGTGCAGGTACACGATATCGAATTCGCTCCAAGCTTGGACATAATAATTACACAAACCTTACCAGAATTATCGAAACAAGTCGCCGATGGTAAAGCGAAATACATTGGTATTACCGGATATCCGGTGTCCATTTTAGAAGAGTGTATCAAGAAAAGTAATATTAATATATCTTGTATATTGACCTATACAAGACATACATTGTTAGATAATACCCTGATTGCATATATTCCATTTTTTAAAGTAAGATTTCCTAATAAATTATTAATTGAATATTATATGTATATTTTTTTATTAAAAAACTGTTATAAAATTTCAATTGTTAAGCAAGTGCATTAATTTTTTAGGCACAAAATATTGGTATAATTAATGCTTCTGCACCATGTATGGGGCTTTTGACTAATAAAGGTCCACCAGCTTGGCATCCTAGTTCAGATCACACAAAAAAAATATGTGCAGATGCTGCAAAATGTTGTATGGTATAATAGATATTTTCAAATTAATAGTGCAAATTATGTTCCACACATTTATATAACATATGTATATTTTATAAAAATACTTCCATCGTTATAATAAAAGATTATACTTATAGGATCATGATACAGAACTGGCTAGATTAGCATTATGGTACAGTATGCAATGTGAAGATATTGCTACATATTTAGTTGGAATTCAAAATTTAAAAGACCTGTATACGAATCTTGATGTTCTTAAAAATGGTATTACAGAAAAGGAGAAAAATTTACTTCAAGAAATTCGGGAAAAGTAAGTATAACACTAAAGCAAATTATTTTATATGCAATCTACTGTATCTAATTTATAGGAAAACACAAATTGCAATATTATTTCATACTGTTTTATATAATGTAAGAGGTAAAT